ATAGTTGCCTCTTGACGAAAGGTAATTTACTGTTGAATGTCACTGGTAGGTCATCATTCTTGTCTCAAGTTTTCTGTCCAATATTGATTAGTAGATTGAATATTGTTTTATATTGTCTTATGAATATAAAACTGTTGACAACACATATGCATAATAAAACAATGTAATTATACAAAATCTATGGCTCTACGATAATTTACACATGCAATCGTATTTGTATTTTCTGTTTTCTTCGGAATATTATTTACCTACTGCCTGTGTACATTTCTAAAGAAAATATTATGAATAATTTCTACGATTTTGTTTTCTTTAAGCATACGATATTTAATTTAAATTTGTCGATCCTAACCCAATCGATCACGGTAAAAGTCTGTAGTCGGATGTCCGGCTGCATCGTAGCCTGCCTAGCCATACAGTTAATGTTCACCCCTATAATATAGTCATTCGCAATCAAAACCAGAGTCATTGTTCTCATCTTAATCATTAGATACAAGTTAAGAATTAATCTACAACCTCTAATTTATGAAAGTAAAAGTAGAAATTATCCGTAAGAAGTGTTGACTCTTTTTTTTTCTCATTTTTTCTTCTTTTGAAAACATTTTATCTTTGAAAACGAATATAACACCGTCACTGACAAAACATATTATTATATACTATAGGATATATTATAACGTGTAGGAATTGTTTAAATGTCTTTCCATTTAAATTTATTTTTTGGATATGTTTCGCTTTATATTTTTTGGATATATATAGAACGTGCTTCGACTTTCACTTTTCATATCTCCCGCAATAATCACTTAGCTATTACATAACTAACAAAGAACAAAAACATATTAAATAACCATTCTCTATAACGCGTTTAAATATATGTGCACACACGCTTATCATTTTATTTAACCTTGAATTTTCTCTTGGTATATTACACCATGTATAAAAATACACCTATTTAAATGAAGTTGATAAAAAAATTAACTAGTTATTTCGCAAAGAAATCTCCGAATTATCATACTTTACTCGTTAACGTTTTACGGTGTCCATTATATTAAATCATCCCAATTTATAGTTAAACTTTCGAGAAACGCACCATTACTAGCAAGGAAATGAATAACGACATATACATACAGTGGTGAAACGGACTCAGCGCGTAGGAGCACAGTAGCGTCGCTCGACAATAGCACCTTTTTTTTCTGTGCGGAAATCCCCTCAGATACCACCCACCAGTGGTTATGTTGGACTCGAACCGACCACCGACGTTCCTCGGGCCCAAGTGACACCCTCCTTTCTGGGAACCCCTATGTCCCCTTTGTGCTCCAGAAAGGGCACGCAGGCTCTGCAGCGCGTCTCGCCACCAAACCGACCTGCTTCTGCTAGGGTGACAGATGGCCTCACCTACCACCCTCAGGCCTGCGCTTAAGGAGGACGGAGGTCGTTCTGCTACCTCCGGCGCCTGATTTGTCTGCGGTTCCTGGCCTGTTGCCGGACCCGGCGCGCCGGGAGAGTTCTAAACCTCTCCCGGTCCCGCTCCGCCGTGTACTTTGCAAGCATAACTTGCTTGCAAAAGGAGACAGCGGAGTACCACAAACTCTCGCTGCATACCATGGGGGCAATCATGTTACCGAGCGAGAAACTTCGCCGCCACGAGGTAAGGCAAGGCAAGAAACAAACCACAGAGGTGTCTTTTTTTTTAAGTCCGTAAACAAAGTTAAATAAAACTGTACGAGTACAGTATAGGGTCTGGGTAGGCCTTTTGAAGAAAATACCATAGTTTTGAGTCGGCCTGTCCATACAGACCGCATACAGGCTCCAGCCATCGTGTAGCCTAACCGATACTGGTCAATATCAGCGACCCGAAGCATGACACTACCGCCAGCAGGACATTTGGGTAGGCCGTGGGAACACTCAACACCACCAGTAAGTTACTAAAATATGAATTAACATTACAAGACTACACTATACTCACATTTACATACTTACAGAAAAAAAATTACTGCACAATTAAAATTCAACGAAAAATAAACAAATTAAAACAAACAAAATACGGAATACACCAAAAAAATAATAATTAAATGTCTATCACTTTCAAACTTAACAACAAAGATGGGAACGTAAATGTGGGAGCGAGCAGCGTCAATCCCAAAGTAATTTGTCGTCTAAATAATCTGTAATAGTGTAGTAAGCCTTTTCACACAGTTTTAGCTTTACTAAAGACTTAAATTTGTTGATACTTAATTGATGGAATTTGCTTGGCACTTTATTGTAAAATCCCACACCCTGACAACGAAAAGACTTGCTTACTTTTTGTAGTCTAGTGGTTGGTAACACGAGTTTATCTTTATTTCTAGTGTTTATTTTATGAATGTCGCCAAACTTTGTGAATAAATGATTATTTTTCTTTACATACACCAAATTTTCATATATGTATTGAGATGCGACTGTCATGATACCAATTTCTTTAAACTTATCCCTCAGTGACTGCCTATAACTGAGAAAATAAATTTCGCTAACTGCTCTCTATTGCAACACAAAGATATTTTGAATGTCAGCAGCATTTCGCCACAACAAAATACCGTATGACATTACACTATGTAAATAGCTAAAATACACCAGTCTAGCTGTTTCTACATCGGGTAATTGACGAATTTTATAAACCGCGTATGCTGCAGGTCTGAGTCTATTCGACAATCCGTCAATGTGTGGGCCCCACTGCAATTTAGAGTCTAGTATTATATCGAAAAACTTGGTGGTGTCCACAAGATCCAACTCCTTTCCATTTATTAGAACATTGGTTTTTACCTGCGTAACATTAGGTGTAAAAAATCTAATACATTTCGTTTGATTCTCGTTTTAAAGTAAATTATTAGCATTGAACCAGTTCACAACCTTAGAGAGAGTGCTATTCACGTCATCAGTTATTATATTGATTCATAGTATTGATGACTGTGACTGTTTATTCAGTCATCAGTCATCAATACATTCTTACGATTTTCTAGAAGTAACAAGGAGCTAAACAATTATACAATATATCTATATATATATATAAGAGATTTCCACGTAAATAGTCACTCATCACGATATCTCTGGAACCATTAGAGCTAAAGACTTGAAATTTGGTAGGAATATTCTTTTCAACGAGTAGAGGTCAGCTAAGAACGGATTTTAAGAAATTTAAAAAAAATAATTATTTAAATTTTTGAATTAACAACATAAATAGCAAAACAACGTTTGCAGGGTCAGCTAGTTTGTACATATAGTATGTATACACATCTCTGAAGTTAAAGAATACATACTACGAATTTCAGTAGATAAATTTATTTAAATTAAAAGTGCTCCTTTGGAAAATATGATAAAATATTTATGTGAGATCATGAGCCGAATACTCGAACTTAACTAAGATTAATAAATAATTAAGATCGATAACAATCATCAACAATCAATAATCTCAATAGAGAGCGACACTAACAGAATAGACGTATTTTTATATATTATACTAAACGTTTAGAGTTATTTCAAATTGTAAAATATTTGTTTAAAATCCAATACAAACAATAAAAATATTCTTTCTTTCTTTCATACATCTCCTTGCTCTTTACAGTCTCCTTTTTTGTTTCAATTTTAAATACTATTCAACTGAACCTAACATATTAGTATTACGTAGGCTCATGACTCATCTTTTGAAATATTTGCAGAACTCAAGATGAGTAAATATTTCAACAGCTGGATAAAAAATTAAGAACACACTTGTAAGCAATAAATATGGCCTATATGGTAGACTCAATCATACATAACTATACGTACGGTATGTAATCGCTATATTTCAACTCATATCACAAAGTTCTTAACGTAAAAAGGTCGTTAATTCAAGTTTTACATGGCGTAGGAACATTTCAAGAGGAAAATCCGAGCGGAGTTTTTCCGCCATAATCTCCTCTCTGTCCTGCCACTGACGACGTTGATTGATGCAGGTGCAGCAAGAAACCTGCCTTCACACTCCAGAGTATTGCCGCGTTAAAGCAACGAGCAACTTTAAAACTATACACGTGAACATGTTTTAGCATCAGTTTTTTTGTACAATTAAGCACACTTGCGAAACGATAAGTCTGGGTACTATACATACTTATATATTAAATATGAAAGTTAGTTTATTTGTTGTTAAGCCTAAACCACTAAACCAATTTTAAAAACTAATAATAACATCTATTTAAATAAATTAATTTGAAGTGTCTGTTTGTAATGTCAAAATAATAGTTATTTTCATGCTTACACGGTTATTTGCACGATACCTATGCCTAAAATCCAGTTTAAATAATTTACGTCTGTCTGTCTGCTACGGGTAATCTTGAAAACGGTTGGACCGATTTTGATAATATTTTACTAACAGGCAGCTGTTTATATAAGGAGTAACTTACGCTATTTTTGCTCTCAGAAAAACCCTATGAAATTTTACCCGGTCCGCAATCGACCCCATGGTCTCATGAACTGCAGTCGCATACCGTACTAGACCACTAAGGCAACGCTTTTTAAATTCTATTCTTTAAAGCTAGTTAATAATATAATCGCATAACATTACGCTACTATATATATATTTTTTTTAATTACTACACCAATTGTGTTGTTTTAAGTGGTCATCTCACCACAATGTACGTTGAAACCTACACCATTTGAAATAATGACAGATTGTGAAGTACCTGTTCTAGGTGTGGGTAGTGTATGTAATCCTCGGGAGAAGTAGACTCGGACATGACGACTTCTACTTATAAGGACTTAAAAAATGTGATGATTCTATTATATTGTACATATATATAGATATCTTGTAGACTTAAAGACTTGTAAAATTGTACTGAAAACATGTTCGAACACTTATTAATTTTCCGACATTTGTCGACGATGTAAATCATAAGAGAAATCCATTTACCATTTTAAACTTGATTCCTATTCACTTTACCAACTAGCAAACCCTTTAAAGTTCCAGTCGTAAAGGCACAGCCAAACTGGACAACCCCATGAGAAATCGTTTTAATACTCAAAATCCGCTTGCAGTTTCAGCGTTTAATGAATTACGTCGGGTGCAGCCTCCGGCGCAAGACGTGCATCGATCAACGTCGCAGCCCTCCCCCGCGTTGCACTCGACGCCCACCCACCTCGCCACCAGCCTCCCCGTGGTAGATAGGCACAGGGAGACTACCACGGCCCCGCACTGCCCAAATAAAATATTCGCAGGAACGCCGCACTCTAAGCTTAGATGTGATACCAAGTGTCACGTGTCAAACGTGAACAAATTATGAGAAGTATTACGCTGGCACCGGTGATCATTATTAACTTTTATATTTAGACGAGTTTAAGACTAAAATATTCACACATTAAAGTACTTATTTATGTGCTTTTTAATCGAAGTCATCTTTATATGTTATATACATTTATATGGTATATAAACAAAAATTAAAACCCTAATGATATTACTATTAACGTATGACTATTATTCAGAATTGACTTGCAAGTTTTGCATAAAAAAATAATAATATATAAAAAGTCCGTGTGGTGACGGATTAAGAATACAGAGTGTCACCACCCCTATTCATCCCGTGGGTGTCGTAAGAGCCGACTAAGGGAAAAAACTACGCAGAACAACAGCACTGCAGAGAGAAGGAAAACTTGACACAAACCCTATACCAACCCGTCTGACCAGCGTGGTATAGTAGGCCAAAACCTCCTAGGGAGAGGCTTATGTCCAGCAGTGGACTATTAAAGGCTGTTGATGATGATGATGAATAATAAAGTACTTACAATATTACTGGTGCTTTTTTAGAAATTGCTGTTTACTGAAAGATATTTTTAAATAATTCAAATGATTATCAAATGAAATAGGCCTACGTAGTGATGATCAGTGCCCCGTGGATATTTGACCATATTTCTTTGTCATTTTCCTTAGCTTATCAATAGTGACAGTTATCTCCTGTACTCGCATCCTGTTACGTACATTTAATATTGATTTAAAAAATAAATTGTTTTATGAAATTGTTCTGTCAGTTTCATTAAATTTATTATTAATTTAATGAAAGTAATTTATTATTTGCTACATAAAATATTTTTTTATTAAACGAACCAGGTTTATTCAACCTAACTTGTCTGTAGCATTTTATAGGTTCAGGCGTGTGATAAAAAGAGGTAACTGCAAATTCGCTTGCGTTCTTCTGAAGCTGGGCATTCGCCTGGGGCTCTTCGTAGAAACTACGTGACGCTCCTGAATTTTAAGAAAATGCATTTATGACGTTGCACCGCAAAGCAGTCGATGGCATGTTTCTTGCCTAGTTCTACGTGGGATTTTATAGTAGGCATACTGAATTTTGTAACACAAGATACTATTATAAAGATAAGTTGAACCACCTAACTATAGAGGTTAACAGAAACTAAATGGAAAATACACACACTCACGCCTTTTACGTACCAAATAGAAGTTCAGAAGTATACACAATATATAAACACACATACGTATACATACGTACATACATACATACATACATACATATAATATAATATTAAAATACTCAGACGAGTGCTAGCGTTGTGACTGTTCCGCCAATTCTTTCCGAAGAAGATCGCTTACTTTTGTCTTGAATGTTAGGTGGTTTGTGGACATAATGATTTTAGGAGGAAGCGTATTCCAGAGAAGAACTGGCTGCACAGAAATTGAGGAATCAATTAAATCGGTGTTTTTTTCTTACATTCTCGTTCGATGTGTTTTAAACATTTTGATCAGCCTTCATGTAATACTTGCAGTACTCTACAGGTGTTATGTTACGCATAGGACTATAACTGTATATCATATTTACTGTGTCTATCACTCCGCATGTATTAATATATGATTGCTAGGGTTCAACACCGTTAGAAATACTCTTCATGTCAGATATATGTTCCACGTAGTCTTCACTTAAAAGAAAAGTAAAGACCTTGAAAGCTGGATATAGAAGTAGTTGGGTATATCATGTTTTAACTGTAAATTGGAATTCTTATTCCCATACACTGCAATTTTAAACTATTAGTCTAATTGGTCAGTATATTTATTAAACGTCAGAAATGTACATTCTATGGACAAAGAAAGACTAAGCTTGAAAATCAGTGAATAATTTTGAATCGGATCCAATTCGGCAAACTACACCAAGTACGAGTTTTTATTGTCAAAAGTTTTTCTATATATTTCTTCAGTCAAGTTCAAAGGTACTGAAAAACGTAAATGATGTATCGAGATATTGCACAATAGGTGTTATCGTGAATCGTAAAACTCACGTTACATAACGTACTTTAAACTTAATGTAAAACTTAATTCCAGATGTGCAGAGACTGGAGAGGCTGGTAATCTGTCACACAGGTGTCCTAGTGCAGATACCAGTCTCTCACATAGACTTGTGTACTTTACATTCAGCACTTTCAATAAATTAGACAATAAGTACCTGTTAACGAAAAGATTATGCTTTAGCGAGAAACTGTAGCAAGAAATGTATGCAGCTTACTTGCATCCGAGCTTATCGCATCTATCAACGTCCGAAGGCTTTCACGGAAGGCTTTGTTCGCACGACGTGGGCGGCCACCCGCCCAGCACCCCACCGCCCGCTTTCAGACGTTACAAACAACTTCAGCTAACCCCGACAGCCACCCAACTTTCTTTGTGGGTTGATAGCCTACCGAAATGTGGATCATTTGTTAGTTTGATCTAATTATAATTTACGTATCAATAAAACTTTACTATTGATTTTATATTAGTCGTTTATATTATTATACTTATCGGTATCTATAAGTAGTGTAAAAGTGCCAGATTAAAGAATAAATTACAGTTTTAGAGTATTCTATCATATTATTTACCAGGAATTTCAATACCTGTACGTAAATCTTTACATTTTTTTTAGATAAAATTGATAGAAGCATTCATTTATAAATATTCTAGCTATTGATATTCTAGCTACGTAGGTAAGCGACTGATTAAAGATTCATATGATAAAAAAACCGTTTTCTAACTCTTTTTGTAGTAATAGAAGTAGAGGTGTATAAGATACGTTTGAATACAAATCTTTGTTAAATCTTAGTATACGATAATTGACTATAACAGCAACTCAATGAAGTTAGAAGCTAGAAAATCTCTAAAACAATGAGCAGTAGAGATCGACAGCTTCACTGACTCTAAAAGAACTTATGTCTGAAATAGTGGACACAAATACCGGAATAAAAAAATATGTAACTAGTTTTCTATCCCAAATTTTGGATACATAATTTCTGGTTAAGTAATACAAAAACAAAAAAAATAAAAAACTACTTAAATATCTCTTTACAACAACATTCTCTAGTTGTAAAATGTGGTGTAATTGCAATGCAAGGAATTATTAAGTTTTTGTTATGACAGTAACGTTTTTGTCGTAGAAATACCTAGCGTTCTCCAACACAGTGTGCTAAGTGGTGGGTGCATCTGCACAGTGAGGGCGCCACATCGATCAACGTCGTCGAACCGACCGATACTAATGGGAGCCCCAACAGACGAGCCCAGCGAATAACTAGGCTGGCTGCCTTCAACCAGCTACTTCTTCCCCCTACTTTTAAAGTAAATTATATTTTGAATAATACGTATTAATATATTTCGCAAACTTAACTTCTTTTTGTTATTACTTTTGTAAAACTGTACAGCCAATTCAAACTAGATTACAGTTTGGAAACTTAATTATGAATGTGAATTGCGCCTGATAATAGTATGAACATATTTAAGTCGAAGAAATTGTTTAGCTCTAAGGCTGGACAATATAAAAAGAAGAATACTTATGAATATAGAGGTAAATATATAGACTGTCCAACTTTATGTCATGCCTAACTTATTAAAAAAAAAATGTAACCGACGCAACAGTATACAGAGACTCCTCTCTTCTCCGTGTAGCGATCGTGCTTTCCGTCTGATAAAACAACCAACGATTTTGTCTAGAGTGATATTTCAACATTTTTTCTTCTCTACTGATATTCAAGATTAATAAAAAATATATTTTATTACAGAGTTTGTTACGTTATAGTTTTAGGTTAGAAAGTCCTGATGTTTCTCTCTTTTTCTCTTAATACTCACTACTACTATTTTAACATCCCATCACATACTCAACATTACTCACTCACACACATATGATCAATGCCGATCAATCTTTCATACCTAGCTTTAGTAACGATATTTAATATAGAGTCATTTAAAGGGGGCCAGACCAGGTGACCTGTAAAATAGGTTTATACGAAACCTACAGCAGGCACAGGCCACTCAGCTAAAACTTAATTAATTATAATTCTTGTAATATACAGATTTTAAGATGTATTTGTACACCAGTCATAGATTTGTATCTTTGAGGCTAAATAAAGTATCATCTATCTATTCATAGAAATACGTCTGTATGTAGTATCACAGGAATGTTTCCAAAAATAAAAAGAAAGGAAATGTGTCCGCTACAGCCGACTGAAGGAACTACGAGGAAGATTTCTGTCGAAGCACTGTTATGAATCAAAGTTATTCAAAGTGCTCTACATGTTGTTGTTTTAATGATGATTTTGATTTTAATTATGATTCTGATTTCAATTTCATTGTTGGTTTTAATTTTGATTCTGATTTGAATTTCATTGTTGATTTTGATTTGAATTTTGATTTTGGTTTTAAGTTTGATTAATTTTGGTTTGGATTTTGGTTGTGATTTTAATCTAGATTTGATTTTAATTTTAACTATGAAAATTTATTGAGAATTAAAATGTTGTCCGTGTGGTGACGGATTAAGAATACAAATTGTCACCACCCCAATTCATCCCGTGGGTGTCGTAAGAGCCGACTAAGGGAGCAAACTAAGCAGGACAACAGCACTGCAAAGAGAAGGAAAACTTGAAACAAACCCTATACCAACCCGTCTGGCCAGCGTGGTATAGTAGGCCAAAACCTCCTTTCTAAGGAGAGGCCTATGTCCAGCAGTGGACTAGTATAGGCTGTTGATGAAAATGTTTTTATTCACTTTGCTGTTCTTGTTGTAATTTGTTGTTAAGACTGAGGATATGTAATTGGCTTAATGTTGCGTATTTTTATGTCATAGACCACTGTTATCGCTGTTGGTCTTCCAAAAGATAAATTATTTTGATCCACTATTCGAGTGCATTAAAATCTAGAATGTAAAAACTTACAGTCAAAGTTATTTATTGACATCGTTTGACATCAAAACCTCTGCCACTCGCTCTATATCAGATAAGTCATTAAAGATAGATGAGTTCAACATATCATTTTTAAAACGAA